CCCTCCCTCCCTCCCTCCCTCCCTCCCCTCCCTCCCTCCCTCCCTCCCTCCCTCCCTCCCTCCCTCCCTCTCTCTCTCTCTCTCTCACATGGTCCTTCATTGAATAAGCAAGATAGTACAGCACATTCGTAATACAGCCATACAAGCAAGGCAAGGCAAGGTAAAACTAAGGCATCTCGAGCTCGGGCTCGAGCACGTGCATGAGATCTCCCGTGCTCAGGGCCTCCCCCTGGAAGGCCGTGGGGGCCGACCCGGCCGTAAACGCCGTCAAGGTCTTGGCAGCTAGCGCGGTTGCTTGCGCGCGTTGGAGCGTGATTGAGAAGGCTGCCGGTAGGAGTGATAGATTTTTGCTGCTTCCCTCGAGGACGGCTCGGCGTTGTGGAGGCGCTTAGCGGCGAGGTTGGCGCACAGGCGGAGGAACTCTAGCACTCCAGGAGAGCAGTACCCATATGTCTCCACGGCCATGGCAAGGAAGCCGACCCATGTTGCTCGGTTGCGGTTACTTGTGTTCCTTGCCCCGGGCCGCAATGGTGGCAGCGGTGCCGGGCGCTCTTCTAGCCAGAGGGTCCTGGCGGGAGATGGGGTCTGTGACAGTGATGTCGCAGAGCCAGACCGCCGACGTATCCGGGTGACGAATGGCGATGTCCGCCTTCAGTCCCTCGACTGGTGTGTACACCGCCGTCTCCACCAGCACGGCGAACCCTGCCTCGGCTGCGATGCTTGCGCATTCGTCGCGGAGGGCATTGTGTGTGCCTGTGCGACCCTTCCCCGTTCCGCACCGAAGGAGGTGGTTAGGCAGACGCGGGTCTGGGATCTCGACTTGCTTGTCACAGTCGCAGTTGCCAAGCACGAGCTGAGGCAGTCCAAGGCGGAATGCAGATGCAGAGGCGTGGTGAGGTGGCGACAGGGTGAGTGAGCTGGTGAGCTGGTGAGCTGGTGAGCTGGTGAGCGGGATTGCAGAGAGCCAGTCCCCCGCGCCTGGGCCCAGGAGGGATTGGAGACGTTGGGTGTGGCCAGAAAGGGGGGGTTGAGGTTGAGCTGCTGGCTCTCTTCGAGGACGGCGGTATACCGCTCCGCCTGGACGTGCAAAGAGATGGAGCGCTGGATTTTGTTTAGATCCTCTCCTTCCCGTAAACGGGAGAGCAGGGTGAGACCTTCTTGCGGCACCGCAGCTTCCGCGACTGCAAGCCGTTGTGGGAGAGCGCAGCTGCAGGTGTCGTCCGCGAAAAAGAGGGGGAGGAGAGTGAAGATGCTTGGGTGAGAGGTCGCAGGTCGGCCGAGGAGGTGCACGGACGCCGCAGTGGAAGCAAGGTAACTTGGAAAGCGTTCCACTGCGGGGTCGGTGAGGTTGAGGCCTCCGAGCGTGGCAGGAAGCCAAGCCTGCCGCCAGGTGCGTAGCTGCTCGGCCCGTAGCCGTGGCACTGGGATAGAGGCGGAGGAGAGGTAAGTACGGTAGTTGCCCTCGCCCCATCTTGACCACTCCTCCTCTGCCAGCAGCTCAGGCGGCGTCGAGCGCAGTAGGTAAGACACGCGGCGGCTGATGCACCTTGTGAGCAGTAGAAGGCAGGTTTGGGGGTCGAGCTGTGACAGGAGCGCAGAGGGAGACACGGCAGTTGCGAGGCGGTCACGGAGGAAGGCAGCGCACGCGGCAGCCGGTCCCACGGGGCTGCCCAGGACCTTGAGGCCTGAGACCGAGTAGGGGACGCCGTGTGGGATGTCAGGCAGTGGGCCCGTTGCGGGTGTCCAGGCAGCACATTTCGATGGGTTGTGGATCAAACCCAGAGGCTCGATGGCGGAGGTGAGTGTTTCGAAAGCAGCTAAGCAGTCGGCGCGGGGGTCCCAACAGTGTCACGTCGTTAGCGTATGCGAGCACGACGACTGATGGGTGCGCAGCAGCGGCTGCTTTGAGGGCGGGGTGGAGGGCGGCGGCGAAAGGGAGGGGGCCCATGGGGTCGCCTTGTCGGACCCCCCTCGAGGACTTCAGGTCGGGGGCGTTGAAGGCGCGGTCGATGAGGAGGGAGGACTGCGCGCCATACGAGGTGCGGGTGAATGGGATGAGGAACGCGAGGGGCGTATCTCGGAGACCCTCGAAGACCGCCTGCCGCTCGACCGCGTTGAAAGCATTGCAGATGTGGAGGTGAAGGGCCAGGTGGTGAAGGTTCTCCTCCAGGTAGGTACGAGTTGCGTGGATGATAGCCTCCGCGCCGCCCGCTGTCGCAACACCCTACTGCAGAGGCGCGAAGTGGCGGCGAGCGTAGGGAGCGGCGAGGAGGAGGGCGGCTTTGGCGATGAGGCGGTGGATGACCTCGCCGACGGCAATGGGACGCGTTCGTCCGTCCGGCTTAGAGAACGCCAGTAGGCGTGAGGCGGTCAATAGCTCAGCCATGGGGCGTGTTATTTTCCCTGCTAGGCCGGTATTGATGAGCGCTAGGAGATGCTCGGCTACGTCAGGGCTGCGGAGTGCGGCCTCGCGGATGTGCTCGAACGTCATCCCTCTGGGCCCTGCGCCCACGCCATTCTTGCATGAGGATAGGATGCGTGGAAGGTCTTGGAGTGTGATGGAGGGGGAGGCAGTTGTCTCGAAGGAGGGAAGCCATGATGGAAGGCCGATGCTGCTTGACGGGTGGCGGGACTGGAGGGCTGCCAGCGTGTGCGGGCTCGCCTCGCTAACAGGTGTGCTTTCGATTGCCTGGAGTGATTTCGCAAGGCTTCCGCGTTTTGCTAGGGCTGTCGAGCGTGCCAGTTTCCCGAGGTCGTCAGCCACGTGGCGTGCGGGAGGATCGAGGTTGACTGCCTCACACGCTGCTTCGTAGAGTTCGTGCCAGTGGCCTTGGCGAAACTGGAGCAGGCGTGCAGAGATCGCGTTCCAGTCAGGCTTCCTTGATGAGGAGGCACGCAGAGTCAAGCGGGGGAGAAATAGAAGCAGTGTCCATGCCTCCGTGGAGTCAGGATCGCGGGCCAATCGGAGTAGGGGAGTCAGAAGACATGTGGCGAAGGTGTCGCGGATGCTGCGGGGGAAATATCGTGCCAGGGGTGGTTGGCGGGAATCGCGTAGCAGGAGGGTGTCCCATGAGGCAATGTCAGCGAATTTCGCTGAGGCCTCAGCCAATTGGCGAGGGGACAGCAGCGGATTTGGGGTTCTCTCTGGCGCCACAACCCCTCCAGTGTTGCCAGTTGTGCCAGTGTTGGCATTGGCGGCTCGATTGGGGGAGGGTTGGACTCGTGGCCTGGCGGCTCGACCTGGTGTTCCGGTTGAATTTTGGCGACCCTCCCCATCTGCCCTTTCAAACTCATCCTCTGTCGATGGCTCCGGTCTCCCCAACATTTCAGGGATAAAGGTCGAGTCACCCAGATCTGAGTCGTCATTTCCAATGTTCACGTTCTCCTCTCGTACGCTCTCTCCCGTGGCGCCCCCCCCTCTGACGAGTCTCTTGCCTTAGTAGTCTGTGCACAGCCCCGACGAAGCTGCCACCACCTCTCCGTCCGCCAGAAGTGCCACGAGCGCGTCCACGCCGTCCGGTTGCCTCTGCGCCACCGCGTCCCCTGCCCCCTCTTTCTGGCGCTGACGCCGGGCCCAGCGCTGGAGCGGCCAGATCTTGGCGCGGCGTTGAGCGACCAGCCGGTGTCCACCATTGACGACCCATCCCCCTGTTTGACAATGGCGGGGTCGCGAACTCGCGGCCGCGAGCGTTCGCCGTCGCGTTTGCATGGCGAGCGGCGGGATCCGCCGCCGTCGCGTCTTCCGTCTCCGTCTCCTGCTCTGTGGCCCGCGACGGAGCGCGGTTCGCGCAGTCGGGCGTCGTCTCCACGGCGCCGTTCTCCTCAGGCGGAATCTCCCCGTCGCGTCTCATCGCGCCTGACATCTCCTCGTCGCTCGTCTCCTCCTGCGCGCAATCGTGGGAGCGGGGGCGGTCAGTCCCGTTCGCGACGTTCTGGCCGTGGCCGATGGGCGCCGAGGGCCTGGCAGTCGGACCCTGCAGCAGAAGCGGCGACCGCGACAGCAACTGCGGCTGTTGAGCGCGCCCTGGCACCGTTGGGCAGTATGATACGCGAACTGGGCAGACCGACGGCCCCTGTAGTGCCCACGGTTGATCAGCTGCCCCCTCCTCTGGATCTTCATCCTCATCCGCCTCCGCCCGCTGGTCCGCCTGCGAATGTGCTCCCAGCCTCCTCTCGTGAGCCGGCAGTGTTCCCGCGGTCCCTTCCGCATCCCCATGAGTTCCTGCCTCAGCCGCTCCCTCTTGCGCCGCCAGAACCACCAATGGTGGTGCGACTTCCTCCCCACGCGGTCCCGGGGGTGTGGCGCGTCCCCCCGACTGGAGGGGCTACTGTGTTCCAACCGCTAGTGGAGCCGGGGATTGGCGCGCGGGGCGAGCCGCCTGCGGTGGGGCCGCCCCAGGGAGTTGCGCCTCCTCCACAGGTACCTCCAGCCAATCCACACGACCACCCAGCGAGGGGGGAGGCAGCAGCAGTGGCGACAGCGGCGGGGGAAGGGGTGTCCACTGAGCCCCGGTCGCGGTGCTCCCCCGCGCGGCGCCGCCCTGGTGGGTTGCGGGTGGGCGGCCGCATTGTGTTGGATCGGTTGTCCCGTCGTGGCGCAGGGGCTCCCCGCGCGCTGGAGGTTGAGACGCAACTGCTTGTGCGCCTGTGGCATATGCGCACCTACTATGCAGTTGTGGGAGCGCTGCTGGAGAATGCTGCCGTGTCGCTGAGCCGCGTGCCTCTGGCGGCGTGCACGATGGGCCATGCGCAGTTGATGGCCAGTCGGGACGGTGCGTGGCTCCTCCGCCATGAGATGGAGATCGCTGAGGAAGAGCCCGTGGGGGAGCCCTTGTCGGCAGCGGAGGCGGACGCCGAGATGGAAGGTGTGGGCTCCCAAGTGCAGTCACGCTCAGCTGTAGACGTGATAAACGGGCTCGTATCAGCACTCCGTCTTGGTGACGGGATGACGATGCAGCTGCTAGAACAGACGGGAGTGACGCGGTGGTTGTAGGCCGTGTGCGTCTGCGGTAGCATAGTGCAGTAGGCACCGAGTTGGTTGCCATGTCGTCCTAATCTATTCCTTTGTCTGCATGCCTATGCACACTACGTTGTCATTGTGGTCTTGCCATTCCCTAACGCGGTTGTCCTGAACCAGAACGAAATAATGAGAAGAGCAAAGGCCAAGAGGCCCTTATATAGCTGGGGAAGGAGGGCAGAGGGCTGAAGGCAGAGGGCTGGGACTAGGTTCCTCTCTCTCTCTCTATCTCTCTCTCTCTCTCTCTCTCTCTCTCTCTCTCTCTCTCTCTCTCTCTCTCTCTCTCTCTCTCTCTCTCTCTCTCTCTCTCTCTCTCTCTCTCTCTCTCTCTCTCTCTCTCTCCACTGTTCATGCTTCACAATCCATCCCTCCCAGCAGCCATCTAGTCGAGCCTCCCTGCCATCAGTGCATTCGCTGCCCTCCACCATCCTGTCTCTCCCCCGTCTCCTGGGCCGTATAACCAACTCTCTGTCTCCACTGTTCATGCTTCACCCCCATCTCTCCCAGCAGCCGTCCACTCGAGTCTCCCTACCATCGGTGCACTCGCTGCCCTCCACCATCCTCTCTGCCCCGCCACGCTCCTCAGCCTCCTCTGCTGCTGCTGTCTCGGATGCTCTTATCGTGGTGCCGCACTTGAGAGCTCTGCTCAGGCATGCTTCGGAGCAGCAGGTACAATCTGCTCCGCTCTGCTCTGCTCTTCTGTTCTGTAATGTGCTGTTCCGTGCTGTTGTGCTGTGCTGTGCTGTGCTGTGTTGTGCTCTTCTCTGCTCTACTTTATGTGTGTTGATGCACTTGCCATCATACTTCTCTCTGCTGACACGCCCCTCTGCCTCCTCTGCTGCCCGCTGTGTCTGATATTTGAAACCCTGCTACTTAAGACCCCCATCACTTCTCCTCTCAGCGCCTATTTTATTCCCGTGCGTGTTTCTCTCGTTTCCTCCCTTTCCAGAAACCCTTTTGTTCGTATGTGCCTTGTGTTGCTGATGCGCTGGAGAATTTCGCGGATGATTGTTTACAAGTCTAAACTAAAGAGCCGTTCTGTTTTCATGTGTCTTTTGTTTGCCTTGTGTTTCCATGCAATCCCATGTCTTGCCCTGCATTGTCATGTGTTTCCATGCAATCCCATGTCTTGCCCTGCATTGTCATGTGTTTCCATGCATTCCCATGTCTTGCCCTGCATTGTCATGTGTTTCCATGCATTCCCATGTCTTGCCCTGCATTGTCATGTGTTTCCATGCATTCCCATGTCTTTCCCTGCATTGTCATGTGTTTCCATGCATTCCCATGTCTTGCCCTGCATTGTCATGTGGTTCCGCACATTGCTGAACCACAGGAGGTGCTCTTCACACTCATCAAGGAGCTTTCAGACGCACATCCAGGTGAGATCCCTCCCTATCAACGTGTTGCCATGCTCTGTACGATGCCTCTCACTGCTTTGTGAAAATAAATATGTTTGGAGGCTAGTATCGTGTTGGCGACTATTCCTCTCACTGCTGTCAGTTCCTCCTGCTCCTGTCCTGCTGCTGGCCATTCCCAGTCGCCTCAATTTAGTCAACCCTCACTCGTATTACGCCTCTCACTGCTTGCAGTCAGACCATGCCTTGCTGCCCTGCCCTCTCACATCTCCCTTTCCCATGCGTAGCATCCCATCCTTCTCCCGCTGATGCTCCTATTGTATGGGTAGATACAAGTCGTTCCAGGTACCTCAAAAGCCTTTCATCCCCTGCTGTGCTCCCTCTGCCATCACCACCTATGCATCCTTGTTTTTTCCTCTCTTTCAGAGATTAAGAATCCAGAGCAATCAGCAGCGCTGCTGGGAGGCATCCAGGTATGCCACATTCTCTTCCATCTGGGATTCACTTGTGAGAATTCTGAAAAAGGACTCCGAAACATGAGCAGCGCTGTTGGGAGGGATCAAGGTACGCCGGATGCTCGTCCGTTTCAATCGCTTCACTCCATCTCTTTGCCCCAATCCCTTGGCTTCTGTTCGTTACTTCTCCTCCGTAGACTTCATTTAGTTGATTCTCAGTGGCAATGGTATGCATGCATGCAGGTGGAACTGCCATCCGAGAGGGAGTGCGAGCTGATGCAGAAGATAGCGGAGATGAGGTGCAAGGTGGCCACGCTGGTGGATAACGTCATCACCTACCGCAAGCGCAACGCACAGGTTTGTCCCGAGTGCGGCTTCTCGTGTGGCTTAGGTTGTGCACATCAATAGTTGATGCAGCAGATAGCTGAGTGAGATGAGGTGCAAGGTGGCGACGCTGGTGGATAACGTCATCACCTACCGCAAGCGCAACGCGCAGGTTTGTCTTGAGTGCAGTTTGTCTTGAGTGCAGTTTGTCTTGTTGCAGAGGTGCCTCAATAGCTGATGCAGCAGATAGCGGAGATGAGGTGCAAGGCGGCCGTGCTGGTGAATAATGTTATCACCTACCGCAACCACAACGCACAGGTGAGAGTGGTTTGGCTTGGGACTCCTCGTGTCTGTCATTCTTCAAATCAACGCCATGACAACACAGTGGCGACGCTGGTAGGTGATGTTAGCACCCACCGCAACCGCAACGCCCAGGTTTGTCTTGAGTGCGGTTTGCCTTGAAGTGGAGCTGAAGCAGCAGATTGCGGCAACGAGAGATGAAGGTGCGGCCGCAATGCCTGGGCGACTTTTGAGGCGCCTCAAAAGCCGCAACGCCTGGGCGAGTGTAGTTTGTGGTGAGTCAGCATGCTGAGATTTATGTCTAGTCCGTTTTGTCCTCACGCAGTCGATAGGAAAGGGCAGGTGAGTGCAGTTAGCTGTGGCGAGACCACTTGTGAAATGGTATTGTGAGTCCCTTGTGTCTGGCGCAGTCAACTAGAATCCTCACGTGAGTACTGTGTGTCATGGTGCAGTCAACCAAAAAGCTTTGGTAAATAACACTGCTTCTCCCAACACTGAGGTGACTCCTGTAACGGGTGAGTCAAGATGAGTCCGAGAGGTTTTTTGCCAACGTTCATGCTATTCCCCCATGTCTCTTACCCTATCGCCCTTGCTGACCCCCGTTCCTCTTCCCCTCCTCCCCTTTCCCTCTCCTCTCCCTGCCCTCCCCCCACCTCTCCCCTTTCTCTCCTCCCCTCCTCTCCTGTTTCTTGCCTCCACGTGTGGGTCCTTCACTTGGAGAAGCAGGTGGAGCGTTTCAGCAGAGAAAGGAGGAGAGGCAGCCCTGTCGCCATTTCTGACTCCTGCTATTTCTCCCTTCCGTGCCCTTCCCTTCCGCCCATCCTCCCCCGTGCGCCCTGCCTCAACATGTGGTTGCTTCAGTTAGAGAAGCAGGTGGCGGCATTTCAGCAACGGAAGGAGGAGAGAGAAAGGCAGGGCGTGGTGCTGAGGCGAGGGAGGTGACTTATGGGGTGCTGCTGAGGCGAGAATGGAGATAGTGGTGTGGGGAAGGCGTGAAGTGGGGAGTGTGAGGGGTGAAAGGAAGGGCGTGGATGAATGGGCACGAGTTAGGAAGGGGCATTTTTTGGAGCGTACCGTAACAGCTGCTACAGCAACCACATGTTTTGCTGCAGCACATCAGGGAATTTGACAATTGTGCTGTAGACGCTGATCACTTGAAGAACCGTTCACAAGCGTTCCTGAAAAATGGTCTACAGAGTGGGAATGTTTAGCAGCAGTCTGTGCCATAGTTGCTAAGTGTTTCTCAATTGAGCCTCAAGGCATGTGGAGGTTAGTCCATGAGCAGCATGTCTTCTGTTTAAACATCAAATTGTGTCTCTTGCACACTAAGTGCAAGGCATGTAAAGCTCTTATACAGAGACATGGGTGCAAGAAAGGCAGGGTAACAGTAAAGTAGACAGGAATGAGGCAGGGTAAGTTGAGGGCAGACGAGGGGAAGGGGCCTGGTACGGTTAACGTTACAGGGCCTGGTTTGGTTGCTCTACATCACAGCAACATTTAAGGTTGTTCCACATATATTTCTCTACCATTGAGCCCCTAACGGAGGATTCTATCCAGGCTATCTCATGCCGTGGATGCCAGAGAGATGCCGCTTGTCAGACAGGTGTCACACTAGACCTCTGGATTGACCCCCTTATCGCCATGTTGTTGTTAAGTATAACCGCGACATAGATGCCGGAAGCTTCCGCCGTGAATATTCCAGCGTAGTTCAAAGCCCCGAGTTGTGACTGTGGCTCGTAAGGCATATCCGAAGGGAGTGTTATCTCCTCGTGGAACGTGCACTTCCAACTCCCGCTTGCTACCGCCACAAATTTGCAGGGTCTAAACCCCGCTATAAAAGAGTCATTGCTACGGAAGTAGTAAGCAGGCCCTGAGAAAGTAAGGTTTGTTCCATTTACGCCCGTAAAGCTGAAGACGAAAGATGTGGTTTGGGTAGTCTCCTTGCTGCAAGGGAGAGGGGGAACAGGGGAGCGGGGAGGGGGTTGGGAAAGGCAGGCGGATGTGGGAGCACATGCTAGGAATGGCTGCTGCTACAAATAAAGCTTCGCCTCCAGCGGGGAAGGCTCCCTTGTGCACGTTCAGCGTGACAACGTGAGCGAGGTGCCAACGAGGTAGGATGAATATCCATCCAGATAACGTGAACGCGGTTTGGCGCTTACACGTTAGCATCCAGGGTGCACGAGCCAGCCATCGTGGTAACGTGAGTGCGTGACCCGGCATGAGAAGATAAACGGTTTGGCGCTTACACGTTAGCATCCAGGGTGCACGAGCCAGTCAGGTTGCCCGTTTTCTCAAGAGTCGCGAAGACTTGGTCTGCGCAACGCGGAGAGAGATAAGAGGGTAGAGGGAGAAAAGGCTTTAAAAAAACGACGAGGAAACTACGAAAAGATAAGCGAAGAAGGCATGAAATAGGTTCATCCACGAGAGCTCGTTCAACGATAGAGCGTGTGCAACGATAGAGCGTGTGCAACGATAGAGCGTGTGCAACGATAGAGCGTGTGAAACAAGAGAGCGTGTGAAACAAGGGAACGTGTGAAACAAGGGAACGTGTGAAACAAGGGAACGTGTGAAACAAGGGAACGTGCGCAACAAGAACTTGCAGGCTGGATGCATCAGTAAAGACTCAGAGCGTCGTCGTACGGCGTAATGTACACGATACTACTTCATCTGCTAGAAGATGGCGACCGACGTTGGCTTTACTTTTGAGAATCTTCAAAAGTAAAATTATCAGTCATGACCCAGAGCGTCGTCGTACAGCGAAATGTAACTCCTTCGCCTGAGAGAAGATGTCGGCCGGCGTTGGCGCTGCAGGCGAGCGAGAGCAGCACTGCACGGAAGGGAAGTCGTGGCCAGGAAAAACATGGTGCTTTCAGTGGTCAGAGCTACGTGAACCAGTAGGAACCTTATATTTTTGCCTCAGATGGATAGTGAAGAATCTTAAAACGATGATTCCTTCAACGAGAAATCCAAACGGTTCATTCTAATCAATTCTCGACCCAGTTGTGAATCACGAGCGAGAAGGATGAGAGCGGCCAGAGTGACCAGCAACAGGCGGTGAGGCGTCAGTTTCTGATACTAAGTAGCGTCCGGCGGCCGTCAAATCGCGATTCGGAAACTCACCAGCGATGACCAACGCTGGGCGCAGTGACGTGTGCGCCATGGTTGGGAAGTAGATCTACTAGTGGCAGTTGCGTGTGATGCGAGGACCACGGGGCTGGCCTTACAGCCGAGAATGGAGAGGCTTGAACGGACTGTAACGAATGGGAGATAAGAGAACTCCAGGTGATTTATAGCAAAGAGGGATACTTGGTACTAAAAACATCTGCACCTAATAATGCTGAACCAAATGTGTGGTCGCACCGGTATGCCGTGGCAAGTGCCAGTTCAAGGCGGGGTGCAACTTCTTAGGAACAGTAGGCGGACAAAAGTAGCATGTGTGTACCTTGAATTCTATTGGTCGAAAACAAAAAAAGGACAAACTTCTCGGCTCTGAACTGCCTGGGTCAACCTCTTCCAAACTATAATACCTTGAAGTTGAAGCTGAAAGTTGGGCCACGGCTTTCAGATGCCACCAGCGGGGGATGGGGGGAGATTCACTGTCGAACTTGAAGGGCGTATTTAGGTTGTCAAAAGACATGAAGGGCTTTGAAACTTGTACCGTGTCAGATGCTATCAACACTCGCAGGCCCAGGTCTCGCGCAGGTGGACTGATAATCGGGGTGCCTGGAACCTTGAACATTCGCGGGCTTCTCAGGCTGGGTTCTTGCCTTGCCGTGCTCTGCAGGCAAATGCTGCTTGGTACTACTTCGCTTCTCATCTCTTTTCTCCTGATTCCTGAATCTCGATGAGACGAATTCGCCGCAAGTGCCCCTGGCGGAACACACGGATCCATTCAGGAAATTCCAGGGGTTTGGTTGGATGCGCGAAGGTACATTTGCTGCCGCGAATAACGCTGGCAGCCAAGGGATCACAAAGCAAACGAGCCCACAGAACCTTGTCAAACCGTTTACAATCTGTACTTTACCAGTGCAGAACGTGCATAATGGTTCTAAACCACGCTATCTGACGAATACGACGTCTGTGGAGCAGCTCGTTCAAGCCGCCGCGTCTCGCGCAAAATCATCTGGAAGAAAAATAAAAACTCTAGTCATCTGTACATACAAGTGCATAGAGACATCATCTTTACACCATAAGGATAATAATGTGAAGATCAAACTACAAAACACATGCACACACACACACATAGCAAGGAAAATTTTCCGGAGAATAGCAGGTGCTGCAGCAACCACATGTTTTGCTGCCACGCGCTGGGGAGGTTGTTCACAGCTTGCTTTGGGAGCTGAGCTGATCGCTCACAGAACGTTTGAGAATCCTAAAGACGAGGAAAATAGAATCCTAAAGAACGTTTGCGCCGGGTTTTATTGCGTCGCGGCTGGTACTACTTACAAAATGAATCGGCGTGCTATGCAGGTGGATTTTTGCTTCTGGTTTTTCTCCTGACCTTATTAATGCTGATGCCCCTATTTCGCCGCACGTGCCCCTGGCAGAACAAGTAGAAGCATTCATAAAATCCTTAAAGGTCTGGTTGGATAACAGCGCGTCACCTGGGACGTTCCAGCGGGATTGTTCTAGAAGGCACCGTAATGAACCGAGTTAAATGTGTCTCAGGCGTACCGTACCAGACCTAATCCCACGAATTTGGCGTCTGAACACCCAGTTTAAAGCGGTAATCTCAAGTTTCAAGTTTCCGTAAGTGTGAACAGTGGAACCAGCTTTGTTGTTTCTCGCGATGCTCGTTCGGAGTTTTTGCTTGGGTGCTTTTGACCAATCAACTTCCGACTCTTCAATCCCTTCTCAGGCAATCGCGAGAGAGTGTCACTTCAAAACGGGTTACCATGTTCTTAGGCGAAACCATGTTCAAGAATCTTGAACTTGAACCTTTGCGATTCTAGACTCGGGCTTTAACCCCGAGGTGACTCACCCTGACGCACCCCGAGGTGACGCACCCCGAAGTGCTGCCGCAAATAACACTGTCGGGATAGTGGCAGCATGCTGGACGAACTGAACAAAACCACCGAACCTTGTTCAACCGTTTTGAAAACATTCTCGACCAGTGAAAAGCTTGCAAAATACCACTACCAGGCCTCGTGGGGGGGTTTCTTCGAGGCGCCGCGTATGTCGCAAAATCATCTGGGAGTTACCGGTTACGAACAACAGAATTAGCATCATTTGTAAGGATTTACAAATCCTTACTGAGGCACTCGTTAGCGAGGCCATCCCGAGGGCCACGCGACCCTCTGGTTCGGCCTACAATTTCGCATCCCAACCTCACCGAGCCGCCTCCGCACCAATCGCGACCCTTCGCGAGCCAACCCTACCACACCATCCCCGCCTAGCTAGGATTTCCCCTATTTAGGCCTCGCTACTTCATTGTTCAATCATTCTGTAATTTCTCATTCTCGTTATTCGATATCTGCGCACTCTGACAAGTTCATTCATAACACCTGGTATCAGAGCTACTTTCCTAGCCTACCCCGCTTTTTAGAGTGTATTACCCCTCGGGGGGGGGACGAGTAAGGATGCCTTGGGGTCCAGGAGTTGCGTAGGCCGGCCAAGAGAACTAGTTAGTTGCTCTTCGCGGCCATGGTTTTACGGGGCACTCCTTCGGCACCGCCAGATCCTTAGCTCGAACGGTCGCGATCGACCGTGACCTCCCTCCCCCCGGGCAACGGACAGCTGGAGCTGTCGCGACATCGAACGTGAGTACTATTCCGCTGCGTTATTTACCGACGATTTCGGATTTTGTGAGGCAGCTGGCGTCAGCGGACCTGCGTCGGCACCTGCACGAAGATTTCGGGGTCGTCAACGTGTGTGGCGGTTGACGACGTTGGACCCGAGTCAACAACTGCGCGACAACTTCGGAGTCCGTCCCACGCGCCAAGTGGCGACGGTGGCTCGTCGACATCATGCGCGCGCGACTCACTAAGTGTGGCTCGGCAGCTGGCGACAAGGAACGTGCGTCACTGTGGCGAAAATTTCGGAGCTTCTGTTGAAGAAAACGTCGGCTGGGGAACTCGCCAGGCGCAAAAGGAGTTTGCGTCCGAAAATGTCGGTGGCGAGGAGAGACGACACAAGACTGCCCGACTTCGCGGGAGTTAACTGCCGTCCCGCCCGACCTGTTAAGTGCGGCAGCTTTTACTGCATTGGCGGGCGCGTCATCAGCAATTTCGGCAGGAGTGCTCGTGGACAGACGGGACTTCATACCTGCTGACACTTACGGGCTGCAACGGAAAACGCGGTGGCTAAATCGCACTTACGAAGAAGTGGGACTCATGCGACTAGGGCAATCGGGGCAGGTACACCTCGAAAGAACTCGTGCGACGCTGCGTGCCTGGTGTTGTTGCAAGCTGGCCGGCAGTATCGAGAACATTTTCCCCTGACCAAGGACGTGCATCGGGGACAGCTGCTGACAACCCACGGTTAAACGGTGTCCAAGGTACCGCCCGATAATTTCGGAGGGGTCGGTACAGGCTGCCGGGACACGCGAGAAGAAACGGCCCAACGGCTAAGCGGGGGTTGAAGAACGTTGCAGGGGCAGATTAAAAGCCAGCGGAATCGATCTGCGGCCCTACTTCGCCCGAACCTCACCATCCCCACCAAGTCCTGGTTCTGACTCATGCAGTCAACCTACTTGGCCGAATAACGGGGGTGAACACGTGGCCTACCCTGCGCTGGTTAAAGGTACCGGGATTGGTGCTCGTTCGACAGCTGTACAAGAAAAGGACAAAAAAAAAAAAGGTGGAGCTCGCGAAACTGTTTTACTTTGACAAAAGCGGGCTGGGTGAACGGCACGCGAAAAAGTCGGGGAGCTGCGAAGAAGAAATGGTGCAGTCTACAGGTTTCTCCTGACCCGGGCGTCTACACGAATCGACGGCGCAGCGGCGAAGCTGAGACCGGGAAGCTGTGGATTTTACGTGGCGTGATAGGCACGGCGGGCTGCAAAACGGTTGGGCGACAGTTTCCTTTTAACTAAGGCTGCCCCGACTCCGATAGTTTTTGCCTCTCCACCGTGGCCGAGTTCGCGCGGGCAACAACGACGATACCCCATCCGACAAAAGCGGACGCTGGGTGAACGGCGGGAAGCGGAATTGTCGGGGGGTGAATACGAAAAATATGACGACGGAGGGAAAGTTGTGGGTGATCCAGCAGATCACTTGAGTGATAGGTTGAGCCCGTGCACCAATCTACCGCGAATTTCGGAGTCTATTCGGTAGACCCCCGAAAGGGTTTGATATCGTTACATGGAGGCGCGGCGAGCGGTACATTGCCAAGGATACCTGGGATTCGCTAAGTAGTTCCGGCGGGTACGAAGATGGGTGAACATCGGAGTACCAGGGAAAAAACGGCGGAAACGTCGGGGCTATACGGCGGAGAATAACTTCGGGACTGCAGCCTCAACCACGATTTTCGGGGTTATCTTCCTACGAAAAGAAGAAAAAAAAAAAAAGGAGTTGAAGCTGAGGGTGTTTCTTCGTTTCTTGGAGTGCGGTTGATACCTAGGACCCACGGGTGTTTAAACGTACACCGCGGGAAATTCTCCGGAAGCGTGGGAGCAGCCGAAGTTTCGGGATTACCTGTCGGTGACGAGCGATGAGGTGAAACATCGCAAAGCGCCAGTGGGAATTTGTGTGGTTTTCAGTTAAGCGACATCGACGGGAGCAGTTTCGACGACGGGGTCAACGGCGTTGATGCCTCTAGGTTCCGTGAAATTCGGTCTCGGAATAACCCAGGTCTAGTTCCCGGTTCCAGATTATGCCCCCAGATGGGTTATGAACTGACGGAACCAGCTGGTGACCGAGTGGGCGGCTATAGTACGACCGAAGATTTTCGGAGGCGAACTGCACCTGCAACTGCGGATTTACGGGGCTACCTTTCGAGCGACGATTTCGGAGTTTGACGAAGGACTTCACGGTTTTACGGCGAAAGCGCGGCATTTTCGTGGCAGTACTTTCTGAGTTTGGTTAACAGTGTGCGACATGACGTAGGGCAACAACGCGGGAACTACACGGACTTTTCAAGGGGTACGAACGACTTACGACGAACTGAAGAAGGCGGCAGCAACAGTGACGGGGGGGAGAGACAGCTGCAAATTTTCATCCC